CCCGCCCCCTATTCCTTCTATATTAACCTTCTCCTCTGTTAATGTCGGGGGGGCGGGGGGGGGTTGGTCTCAGGGCTTTTTCCTGGCTTAGGCATCTATGTTGTGCGATGGGGGTGGAGGAGATGCCACTCGTAGGTCCCAATATTTTACATATCCCTCCAGATGTGACTGTTGGCGCCATGGGCGGGCCGAAATACCAGCCCGGACTATTTCCACAGAGAAGGAATGCCGCGGACGCGTTCACCGGCCAGTTTGAAGTACTCGGCGGAGTTCCTCTTTAACCTTCCAATGTTCAGCGAGTCTTTTTTCTGGAAGTCAGCCAATCCACCGGCCCCCCCGGCTATATTAATCTGACCGGCCAGAACCCTCGGCGTCACCCATACGTTATCAGCTGCGGCGCACGTTTCCGGAGAACAAAAGAACTGACATCTCCAGATCCTCAGAGGGAGAACGGCGCCATTATTTATTACAGGTATTTCTATGGAACGCCGACGATTTACACAGTGCTTTACACAGTGCACATTCACACCAGTCCCCAGTGCACATTCACACCAGTCCCCGGAGCTTACAATCTAAGGTCCGCGTCTCACGGCCATACAACCGCAGTACCCGGAGGAACTCCGCGCAACCACAGGGAGAACATGCAAACTCCATGCAGAGAGTGACCTGGCCGGGATTTGAACCGGAGACCCCCGAGCACCTTCGAGGCAGAAGCTCCAACCACTCCGCCGCCCATTATCGCACTGACGCGCGTCACCTGCGCAGGATTCATAAAGCGAGCTGCGGGCCGGCGCATCTCTCGGTGCAGAGAGGGCTCATTTTACATGCCGCGCACAACCCGTCGCTGGATCATGTATCGTCCCCCCAGACGCCGAGACTTCCGGGCTCACGGCTGCGCATCTGACGCTCTCAGCAGAATCCGAAAAACCCAACGTGAGCGCCAACATCACCACTAATAAACGCAGGCCAAACAAACGCATCCCCACAATGCATTACTGGAGAGGAGACGCACGCCGCGACACAAGGACACGGCTCCCTGAAGTGGACCTGTCATCACATATGGTTTATGTTAAGTGAAGCACCTCCAGGTATTTACGCTCACCTTGTGACTGGATACAAAGTTACAATGTACAGAATGATCACTGGGGGAGGGGAGACTGAGGAAATGCTTCCTCCTGCCTGCAGCAGACTGATCACTGGGGGGAGGGGAGACTGAGGAAATGCTTCCTCCTGCCTGCAGCAGACTGATCACTGGGGGGGAGGGGAGACTGAGGAAACGCTTCCTCCTGCCTGCAGCAGACTGCTCACAGGGGGGGAGGGGAGACGGAGGAAATGCTTCCTTGTCATCTGTTTTTCTTTTATCAAATGATTTTTTCGATCACATCCTAGCCCAGTTCTCTTCTGGCAGTGTCTAATAACTCTATGCTGGCCCAGCTCCTCCACCTCTCCCCTTTTATATAGCTGCTGAGGGAGGGGTGAAGAGGAATACCATGCAACTGGATTCAGGTGTTCCGTGACATTTCCCGGCTACTAAATATTCCGCCGCGGTCGCCTGTTACTGGGATTATAACAAAGCGGAAGCAACCGGGAACAATAGCAACTCAGCCAGGAAGTGGTCGGCCGCGTCACATGACAGAGCGGGGTCAGCGCATGCTGAAGCGCACAGTGCGCAGAAGTCGCCGGCTGTCTGCAGATGGGGACATTAGAGTGTAAGCTCCTCTGTACAGAGACTGATGTGACTGTGGGGGAGGGGACATTAGAGTGTAAGCTCCTCTGTACAGAGACTGATGTGACTGTGGGGGGGCATTAGAGTGTAAGCTCCTCTGTACAGAGACTGATGTGACTGTGGTGGGGAGGGGACATTAGAGTGTAAGCTCCTCTGTACAGAGACTGCTGTGATTGGCTCAGTGCTCTCTGTACAGCGCTGCGGTATATGTCAGAGCTATATCAGCGAGGTAAACATTAGTCTTAGTTCTGCCTCCTGGGTCAGGAATGACTCCGGTGATATTACTCTCCGTCAGGCACGAGGTTGGATTGGAGGCCCCCGAGGGCTGGAGGCGGATGTAACGCGCGGTGGAGGCTGCGGTATTGAACCACCTAAGTGCCTGAGAGTATTCCCGGGGAGAGGAGGCTGCTGGGAAATATTCCCTCTTTCCGCTCTCGCCCCGAGGACGCTCGGCCTGTTGGGGGGGTTGGGGCGTCTCTTTCACAGATCTCATCCATCACATTGCTGGTACAATGACCGGGAGGAATACGTCCCCCCAGCTGGTGTGCGCAATGCAATCCTGCGGCCTGTGCGCGCGCGGGGGTGGGGGTCCGCTGAGAGTTGCAGCACACTGCC